AACTCATTCTAGAGGTCTTCATCAAGCAAGTGGAGGAAAAGAAGGTTATCAGGAGTAGTCAGCATGGATTCACCAAGGGGAAATTATGCTTGACCAATCTGATAGCTTTCTACGATGGTGTGACTGGCTGGGTAGATGAGGGGAGAGCAGTGGGTGTTGTCTACCTCGACTTCAGCAAGGCTTTTGACACTGTCTCCCATAATATTCTCCTAAGGAAACTCAGGAATTGTGGGGTGGATAAGTGGTCGGTGAGGTGGATAGAGAACTGGCTGAATGGCAGAGCTCAGAGGGTTGTCATCAGTGGTACTGAGGCTAGTTGGAGGCCTGTAACTAGTGGTGTCCTCCAGGGGTCAGTACTGGGCCCAGTCTTATTCAACTTACTCATCAATGACCTGGATGATGGGACAGAGCGTACCCTCAGCAAGTTTGCTGATGACACAAAACAGGGAGAAGTGGTGGATACCCGAGAAGGCTGTGCTGCCATTCAGTGAGACCTGGACAGGCTGGAGAGTTGTGCGCAGAGAAACCTGATGAAGTTTAACCAGCGCCAGTGCTGGGTCCTGCAGCTGGGGAGGAACAACCCCATGCACCAGCACAGGCTTGGGGCGGACCTCCTGGGAAGTAGCTCTGTGGAGAGAGACCTGTGAGTGCTGGGGGATGACAAGTTGACCACAAGTCGGCAGTGTGCCCTGGTGGCCAAGAAGGCCAATGGCATCCTGGGGTGCACTAAGCAGAGTGTGGCCAGCAGGTTGAGGGAAGTTCTCTTCCCCCTCTACTCTGCCCTAGTGAGGCCACAGCTGGAGTACTGAGCCCAGTTCTGGGCTCCCCAGTTCAAGAAAGACAAAGAACTGCTGGAGAGAGTCCAGCGGAGGGCTATGAGGATGATGAGGGGACTGAAGCATCTCTCCTACGAGGACAGGCTGAGGGAGCTGGGCTTGTTTAGCCCGAAGAAGAGAAGGCTGCGAGGGGACCTTACAAATGCTTATAAATATCTTAAGGGTGGGTGTCAAGAGCATGGGGCCAGACTCTTTTCAGTGGTGCCCAGCAACAGGACAAGGGGCAACGGGCACAAACTGAAGCAGAGGAAGTTCCATCTGAACATGAGGAAGAACTTCTTCCCTCTGAGGGTGACGGAGCCCTGGAACAGGCTGCCCAGCGAGGTTGTGGAGTCTCCTTCTCTGGAGATATTCAAGACCCACCCGGACAAGGTCCTGTGCAGCCTGCTCTAGGTGACCCTGCTTTGGCAGGGGAGTTGGATCCACAGAGGTCCCTTCCAACCCCGACCTTTCTGTGATTCTGTGTAATGCTTACTGCCAAAGGAAGAGTTTTACCTGGAAGGGTAAGCAGACCTAGCTGTATGTGTTGAAGTATCAGGCTTCAAGCTTACCCCACAGTAACTTATTTGTGTGTCCCTACCCCTGAAAAGCTATGACAAGAAACACTTGCTTTTCAAAGGCACCTCAAGAAAGTTATCCTGACCTACTTTGAGGTGGTAAACTAAGCTCAGCCTGCCCGAGGGAACTGGTGGTTTATATCTAGGTGTTCCCAAGAGACGGAGACGCCAATGCAAACTGTTATCAAAAGCAAACGTTTGCTGTTTTTATGCCACTTCTGAAAGAAAGTCTGAAGGATTGGGTTGGTCTTTGGAATTCTCGCCAATTAAACCAGAACACTGGAAAAACAATTAGCAGATTTATAACATCCTTATTCAACACACAAGAGGGAAACCAACAGCTGAAATAATGATTTTAATTACTCACCTCTCTCTCCTGGAAACTAACTACTCAAGAAAGAAACTTGGTAGTCTCTGTGTGAGAGCTCAGTGATAGCTGCTTGAGGAGGGCAGCAACTTTCAAAAAAACCAGCATCGTTTTTGAATGGATTGACACAAAAAATAGTTCCCCGTGCACTTACAGTGAGTCAGAGAGGAAGCCACCCTGGACTTGCCCAGCTCAAGCACAAAGTGCAGATGTGTAAAAGCTTATCTACTCTATATCACTGGAAAAATAGTTCTAAAACTCAGTCTCGACAGAAGCAGTTTCACTCTATCTATCCATCCCTTGGTCTCCACTCCATGCACTCCAGACTTTTTTTTTTCCTGCTTATGTCATGAATACAAGTCTGTAAGTTAAAGACGTTGGATGTTTACAATAGCAGAGATTTTTTTCTTCTCCTCAACAAGGATACACTGTCAACTGGTCATTTCTGGCTGTTTAAAGGCCAACTGGTGCAACAAACACAGTGCAAAGTTTTTTTCACAAATGCAGCCATTGGGCTGTTCAATTCACAGAAGACAGTCAGTGAGGCACTGTAAACAACTAACCATAGAGAGGAATTCAATTGATTGATCCTGTTTCTGTTCTCTAAATCAATATCAGAAATGGGAACATTTAAAGATTTAAAAGAGTAAGGGAATTACTGAAAATTGGTAAGTAGTATTTTCAATGTGCTTCCTTATTTGTCCTCCATGAAAATTAACTCCATGGGACCCAGTGCCAAAGGATGCAAAAGAAACCTGAAATACAGCTGAAGTCGGGCATCAGGCATTTTTATGGGCAGATAAAGACAAATCATATTGGTTTGTGTTTCTGTTTAAAGTAATGGCTGCAACCCTTCACGATCCAGAAAATAAGATCATTGATAAAAACGGCAAGACTTGAAAAGCAGCTTCACCAGCAATCTGGTTATACCACGCATTGTCAATTTTCTAGCAGCTTCCTCTGCAGCACTAGGTCATTTCTACCAAAATGGAGATATCTGGCCTGGACCCAAGATGGAGATGAATTTCATGCAAACGCGTGAAGTTTGAGGCAAATAATACCACCTGCATTCCTGAGAAATTTCACTTCTCACTGTTTTCCCGGTTTCTTGGGAGGCGGATGTATTCTTAGCTAGAAATACAGAAAGCAGCATTTGGTGGGCCCCAAACGCTGTGAGGTCTTTCGCTCAGCCTCCTGTGGAGTAGACCTTGACAGAACTACCCAACAGGCTCTCTTAAAAAAAAAAACAACAAACGAGCAGCCTTGATCTAGAGTGATCATTGCCAGATACACAACACTAAGCTGCAAATGTGCAGTACGGCTTAGAAAGGCAACTCCAGCATAAGTTATTGCACCAGTTGCATCGAGGCTGAAAAGATTTCAGTGGCGTTTCAGATCAATTTGTAACACCCAGACGGGTAGTATCTTGTCATTGCCAAAAACCATGGCAACAAGACCTTCAAGGCAAAAAGGAGGGGAGACTCCAAAAGGTGTATACACTTTCTAAAGCCAAAGGAAGAACACTGCATTGCTAGGAAAAGGTATGCAGCCACAGAATTAAAAATCTACTGTCAACTTTCGACCAGTCTGAGTGGATTTTCCAGTCTGTGGGTCAGGTTTGTGCTGAAGTGGGTTTGATCTGGAAGCTGTCTGGCCCGCTTCCGCTATGCCTCACTTTGCACTCAATGGTGTCTGCTGGCCTCTCTGTTCTACATCATACCCACCCTGCAGGTTCCCATATAGCTGGCACAACACGTTTCTGGATTACCGCACTCCTTTCGTGTCCCCCCTTATCAGAGCTGGCTGCACTGCATGCAGGTAGCACTGAAATCCCACCCGAAAACTGGCTTTGAGCTGTGCTGGTTTGAAGATTCAAGCCTTTCAAGAGTTGTACAGAACTGTACAGGATTTTTCCAGCTAGACAGCCAGTGCCACCTTACAGTGAGATTACCTATAGCAATAGGCGCACGTATTTAATATAAATTGCTATGTCCTTTCCAGTAAAACATAGTTACTGCTGGACCTTCGCTTCCTCTTCAATCTTTAAAAATAACTTGACAGGTTAGCCCATTTCCCAGAAAGTCAGCAACTCTGACACGGTACCGTGCCTTTATAAACCAGAATACTGCTAAATTTAACTTTCTCAAAAAGCGTTAGGACAGAGCTCTCACAGCTCAAACACATACATGTTGTGCAGTCCCGAAGAGTAGTAGGACAGAGTAGGGCTAGGGGAGCGGGTCTGCTGTCGTGCAGGTTTGATTGTGCGAGGAGGGATGGAAGGACTGGTGGAGGACGGCTTTGAACTCCGTGGTGGGACGGGGGGAGCATTCAGGAGCCTGCATTCCTCTTTCACCTGTACAAAAGAAGAACATGTAAGTAAGCAGCGAGAAAATCTGGGCAACAGCACTGTCAACCAGAAGAAACACATCTGGTTCTGCCTTATTCTGTCAAAGGAAATAACTAAAAAGGGAGGAGAAGAGAAAAATGATGCTAAGTATGTACATTTGCAACAGCATGTGGCTGTCATAAAGAAGCCCAAAAGAACACCTTGCTACCAGTAGAGCTACTAGCAATCTTTTTTGAGGTGCTTTTCAGTAGTTTGATATCCACTCACTTCAAAAGTAGCCGCAATGAAATAATGTAAAAAAACCTTCCAGTAACATACAAAATCAAGACAGACCGTTGCAGATATTTTACATTTTGTAAGGAGCAATTCGTTAGGCTTAAACTTCACTAGTGTTGTTTATTTAGATGTAGTAAACCAAACTTACGTAATGAAAAGATCTCAACAGACTTTGATGTTTCCTGATTTACTTCACAGAGATACTCAGCCTTCCAGCTCTAGGATAATTCCCAGCCTTCCTCCCCCAGGAATAGTACAGGTATCCTGTATTTACCAGATGCTGGGGTTCAAACTTGGAGCTTCAGTCCTTCTGTAGCTGCCAAAGCAGTCCAGGATAAGGTCAACCACAAAACGTACAAGTTGGAAGGTGTGGGCAGAAGAGCCTGTGCGAATAAGGCACCCAGCCAACAGGTCTACTTGCTGCAGCCAGCCAGTTTTGCAGCTTCAAACACATGACTGTAGCACTGCTTATCTCAAATTTAGATTGGTCTGCCTAGGTAGGAGCAAAATATCAGGAACCATCCCCATAGAAAAAATGATGGAATTAAGACCTTAATCTCATCAGTATATATTTGGGAGAGCAACCTTATTTAGTAGGGCTAGAGGTGAATAAGGCTACTGAGCATTAGGGTGCCAGGCAGGATCTTTAAGGACTCGCTGCCTCCCTCGGGCAGGTGGAGACCTCTATGTTCTCCTTGTCTGAAACAGTCTCAGATGCACCAGAAAAGGGAAATTCTGTTTGTGTTTGAAAGTTATACTTTATTTTTAAATTTCACAACACTGCAGAACTAAAAGTCATCTTAGCAGTCCTGCAACACATAATTAGCAATTAAAGTGACTTAATTTATTTAAAAACAAAATAAATGTGGAACCTTTTGCAATCCACTTCAGTGCTTTCAAAATGCAACAACCCATTTAGTACTTTTGTGAAATGGAAAATTTGGGACTGGGACATTGCAGTGCATTTTTTCCCTAATTCAAAACAAGTCAAAATTACAGGAAATGCCCGACAGCATAAAACACTGAAATAAATCTTGCTCTAAGGGTTCTTATTTGCTCTTTCAAGAAAAAAAAAAAAAAAGAAGAATCAATTTTATTCATGTTTGTTATTGAATTCAGGCATAAAACTCTTCAACCATTTTAGTGCTGTGCCCCAAGGATGCCTAAGGACTTAATTTTTTTTTTTTTTCCTTCCTCTCCTCCCAAGTCGGACTAGGCAAAGTTAATGCTGCATGCCATCGAATAGGCACCCATGGGGTCAGAGCGACCATTCAGGGGAGCTCTTGGAGCACAGCAGGCGGTCAAAGGGTTAAAGGGATTCTTTCCTGGGAAGACTGCTGGCATTCAAAGGTGCTGGCACAACAAACTGTGCCAAGCTCCCTTGCTGACCCAGATTGCAGATCAGAATGCGGCCATAAATAATACCAGTTTGCAGTCCCAGTTGGTCCCTGTCACAAGACCGCGATTACAGCTGCCAGACACAGCCCTCAGGAAACCCAGCAGAGGAATAAAAAGGAGAGATTTTGCAGATTAAGCTGACAAGGGCAAGGGGAAACTTCACGGGAGAGCTACGCTCCCTAGGTCCAGGAGAACAGCGACGGAATACGTGCAGGAGAGGAGGGGAACAGCCGTGGTGTGACACAACGGCTGCGATGGCTGCTGCTGTCGCAAGGAAATGCTCTTTTGCCCAGATGCATTGGATGCCACGCGGCTGCCAGATACAGATAAAGTGCATTTGCACTGAATGTCTGAGCCCTCCCAAGCTCCAGCACTCCTTCCCGTGACCCGGGGTTGGTGACCCCTTTCCGACGGCGTGAGGGGGATTTCAATACCTTTGCGCCTTTCCGTGGTGCCGGCCCATAGCCCCACCAGCAACCCCTGGGGCGTCACTCCTGAATCTGGGCATTGCTCGTGCCCATTGCAGCGGTCACCTCCGAGGCCGCCTGGATAAACCCAGCGCAATGCGAAGCGAGCATGATGCAAAGCGGCCCAGTGCTCCTTGCTGACAGGAGCCTGAACAGCCGGCACGCTCCACCGGTGATGCGCTTTAAATCAATCAGGAAAACAGCCTCCGATTTTATGGAAATGAATGTTTGAGGACTGAAGCAATTTCTAATTTACAGCCTTCGTTCAGAGGTCATTCTGCCCCGCCCCCTTCTGCCTTCACGCTACTTTGATTTTCTGAAAGGTATTGAGAAAATAAGTATCAGGTTTCAGAATGCTTCATCCTGCTGGTGAGAAAACCAGAACAGCTTCTCAAACACCCGAATGTGCTTTTCTCTCTCCAGCAAACAGCTCCCGTACACACATTTTAAATTTAGTGCAGGCAAAAATACAATTGCCAGACAACCTTTACACAGAAACGCTATGGAGTATCATTCTAAAGGGAGTGATGACTAAACCACATGTTCATCAGCAGCTCCTGAGATCTACTGATTCTATAAATACCCTAGATGGAAACCGAGCAAACATCTCCTCGGCCCCAGCCCTCTGATGAATTTGGTAGATCACTGATACTCATTCCAAAGCTGTTCCAGGAAGCCACGAAACCGACTCTAAACAATTATCTACAGAGATGAAGTCTTTTTCACTTTGTTATACTTCTTTTGGGGTTACATCCTTTGCCCACCTCTAAATGCAGGCTAATATCTTCACCAGAGCTTAGCTCCCCTGCACAGCTAGCCAGCAGTACTGAAATCGCTGACAGCACTCGCGCCTAACCTCAGTAATGTAAGACACACATGACAAAATCCCACACTTTTCCAAACGTCCTTAAATGCAACATACGCACCTATCCCAAAGGCCACCCTGCTGCCCAGAGAAGGGAGTTGCTATACCACGAGGTTTCCCCAGGCGTGGAGGTCCACCCCGACGCCGTGCAGGTGTCCCACAGCTCTCCCAGCAGCCCACCGCCCACACCTCGGGCACGACCCGGGGGGCCAGCAGCCCCCAGCCAGGAGGGCCGCCCTCACCCTGCTGTGTGGCCAGCCTTCCTC